TCTTCTGGATCTAAGAAAAAAACACACTGGTTATTTTTGTACTGTTGAATAAAAGGTTGTTTCTGATACCTAAGCTAGGAATACAAGGCAGTCATGAGCTTATTAAAGCCTAAGGCAACAGCTTACTCATTTCATTGAAGAGCCTTTTCTTTTAGTTACTATTTGTTCTTGGTATGTCAAACAGTATTTGCTCAGACGTGTACTTTTTGTGTCTGACATATAATTCCATTCTGTGTAATTTCAGACTAAACAGAATTGAATATAATCTCCCATACTGAGGTTCCCAACATATGCTAGGAATATTAAGATTTATGTGTGTCTATGTGTGCGTGCATTTACACAAAGAGTTCAGGTGAGAGAGCTGTGCCCCTGAAACTAGACGTAAAAGAGATTTTGAGCTGCTTGGTGTGAGTGCTAGGCAGTGAACTCAGGTCCTTATCAAGACCAAGACGTAGTCTTAACCATTGAGACTTCTTTCTGAAGCCAAGGACAGACAGCTTGACTAGGGATAGAGCTGTTAACAGGACTAACTCTGAGAGTTACTAAAATAAACAAATCAATTCAAACTGCTTTTAAATATCTGATAAACACACCTATCAACAACACATGGTGAAAGTATTATTAAGACACTATTATTATGATTTATAAACTTATATTCAAAAATTTAATAACCAGGCCAGGTATAATTCTGAAAAACAACTGATGTGGGAGTACAAAAGGTGGAAGCCAGAAACTCTGTTCAAATGTAAGTGAAAAGATCAAAAATAATTTTTGATCAAAAAGTCATAGTAAATGCCCGAGACTTCCCATGAGAATGGGCTGGATGAATTCTGCTTCCTGTATCTCTCAGGTAGACAGGATGAATAATAAACCAATCTCTAAACCCAGACCACTAATATAGGTCGCCTCTCTAAACATGCATGAATATAAAGTTTAGAAAGTTCATGAAGCTCATGCTAAAGAGACAGTAAAGTGTAGGGACTTTCCATTCTGCACAGTAGATGTTAGCCAGAGAGGATACTGGGAAGTCATAATCAAATCCTCTATCTGTGAGAGCAAGAAAATAGAATCAACCCAAGGAAACTCAGCAAGAAATAAAGAATATATCACGAATTCCTATAATAAAATAAAAAAGTTACCATGTAAGATATACATTACTAGTTTATAGAAATGTTTTAGTTATCAATATAGATAAGTGAATTTTGCTTCAAACTATGCTTAGTTTTAAGATGTTTTCCTCCTTGATCTATACTTTGTGACTATGAAAGAACGGACAAGTGACACAATCCCTCCAGAGAAATAACTATCAAATGATTTTGATCATTATACTAATGGTTGCATGGCTCTTATATATCATAAAAGATACAGGATGAATGATTAAAAGTTACATTAATATTTACCTTTAGCAGAAGAGTTATATTTTTCTTGTTCTTCAATGAATTAAATGCACATAATGATGGAAACAAAAGAAAGAAATCAGCAAATTTATAGTTAGACATGGAAATGTGAATTAAGAAAATGGCATGAATATTAAAATGCATAACACATAAGGTGACATGGTAAACTGCATGATAAACCATGAGGAAATTTTACATATGGCATCGAAATTAATTCAAAAATGAAAACAGCAATTCAAAGATTTAAACAAAACAAAAATCTCGGGAAAATAACTTGCTTGATATTCCAAATGCATATGCTACAATGCAGTTTCTTGACTTTTAAGAACTGTATATTTTGGCAACAATTTTACTGAAACAGTACAATTTAAACCCACCACTGTCTTACACTATTGAAAGCATACTTAATCTACATAGAAACTTTAATTGTATAATTGCCATTTCCTATGATTTGAAATTCTATGTGATCAATCCCTTTTCCTCTCTTGAGTAGAAAGTATATAACCTATGAATGGAAACACTTCTGTAGCATTTCTGTGATATATATATATATATATATGTATATATATATATATATATATATATCTTATATCCAATATAAGTATCTTTTCTTTTTTCCTCAAATTTATAGTAAATACTTCAAGACAAAATTACTAACAATTTTCACAGATTGCATATATTAGATATTTTGTAAAACTATACTTCCCTTTTTGCTATTATATTATCTACTGAAAAATAACTGGCTGTCACAGCGGAAGGGAGGTGTCAGAATGGTCTCATGTGTTAAGCAGTCCATGTGATGTATACACAGACCTATAGGCTTGCCTTTAACTTTATGAATGATCTTTACACGTTTCATTAAGAGACCACAATGAAGCAGAACTACCTGACCTGTTCAGAAAAGTCACACGTTTAAACCATCACTCACAGCTGCCTTCATCTTTACTCTATGTAGAATGATGCTATATTACATTCAATACTGCCATGTAATAAAAAAATTTCAAGGAACTCACTACTTTCAATTTTTACATATTAAGAACAAAGCATACACTATATTTTAATCTGTATTTATGTCAAATTATGTACTATAATAATCTACTTTTTCTAGATGCCTACTTTTATATACCCAGATTTCACATATTGTGTTCATACTTATATTTCTTAAGGGAAATTTTAAAGTAATTTTCAAATACTCAATAAATATATCTTTTAAAATGACAGTCTTTACAATTGGAAAATCTGCTTATAGTACATAAGATATAATAAATATCACTGATAAAAATTTTAAAAATATCCAATGAATCAAATCATCTTTGTAGTCACCCTAAAACAATAATATAGATAATTATATACAGAAAATGTATTAATAAATTAGTTTATAATTATATCAAGAAATTGTATCTCTGTCTAGGAAACTAATCCACTGAAAGTACTTTGTTCTTACCAATCAGTTGTTTACTAACTGAATTACTTTTTAAAACATTAAGTCAACCCTTTCTAAGAGATTAAACAAGAAAAAAAAACAAAAGTCAAGTGAGCTTAAGCAGTAACAAATAAATTTCAGCTGATGTTAATTCCCACATGAAATTTGTTAGACTGTAGTCTAACAAATTTATCAAAAAAGAAATTAATGACATACTTATATCACCTTAAGAACAGTGAAATTCATCATAAATAAAATGCATTAAGTATTGTCTAGCCCATGATCAAATCACTTCAGAAACCCATTAGGGACAAATGTGTCGCGTGAGCTCTTCAGTATGAAAACACCCCTAAAAGATGGCAGGAGACACTGCTACCATTTACCACAAGCCCCAAGGCATGTCCAAATGCCATGAAGTGCACCTCAGAAGGCTTAGATTAGATAGCACATGATGACTATCCCATTTACAGGCTTGTCTATATCAGAAACTTCAACAACAAACTATGTTAACTAAAGTATTTGCCATAATTAATATCACAGTATCTCCAGAAGGGTTATTCCCACTCATCCCATTCTTCCCACCTCAATCCAATCCTTACACATGGTTGTGTTCTCTGAAAGACAGCTGTGAATACGAACATCATAAAGAGTAGATATTAACAAAGGAACATGAATTTTAAAAATAAACAGGTAGTCCAATTGACCTTGAAGAAATATTACTATAGTGCCGCATGGAGTGTTTTACTTGCAACTGGAGGAAATGCAAAGAATTTCAGAAACACATGACTTGCTGAGTTTCATTGTTACCAGCAACACTGGGTTTCTAGTGAAGCATCCAAATTTACAGTTTGTTCAGTTGTGCAACAAGAGTTCATGAATGAGTACGTTAAAACGCCATCATCTATTTGTTAAAAAAAATCAAACTTTTGACAGAAGCATTGTTAGTATAAGTATTGTTCAAATAACATAATTTTCCCCTCAATCATCTCAAAACATTTCAGGAAAGAAACAAGCGCCTGTTAGAAATGTGGATCATACCATCGAAATCTGGTATTTTAGAATTTTCACCAAGACTGCTTTTGCTAATTGACTAAATGTATACATTTACCTCGTCCTTGACCACTAAAGCATGCTGTACCCACAAGAAACATTTTCAAGACACAAATCTGGCTGTTCGCATAGCTTTTATGGTACCCTTTGCAGTATTGAGTTAGTAAGTCTACACCACTTATTCATGCTAACGTTCCTATTATCAAGCATTTTGCAAGGTAAAACAGGCCACTTCGATCCCTGAAGCAATGCAGTCTGTGGGGAAATACAAGTTTTACAGCAGCGTCAACTAACAGCGTTGGAAAAGTACTCAGAAAGCAAACCATCAGGCTATATCATGGGGATGTAGAGTGGTAATGGATGTTTTACTATGTTCATTGTTCTTGAACCACAGTCCTGAACTAGAAAAAAATTAAGTCATTCGTTTAGTCACTGCTAATATATGCATTAGAAAATACTAATGTTATTGACCTACTAGGAAACGGGTCAGAGAAATAGTATTTTAGTCCAGCATTTCAAACATTTAACACATATCCTTTAATCTTGGTTTCTACTGTCAAAACAAATCTCCCCTCCTCCAAACACATACATGGCAATTCTTTTAGGAAAACAACCCATGCATATTTAATGTAAGAAACCCAGACAATGTGGCTCATAGCAAAAGGACAAATATATGTTTTGAGTAATTTTTACCACCGAACTATTTAAAACTCAAGATATGGTTAATGAAGTTAGGATGGAGAACACGCAGTGATCATATTTAACTTTAATTTTTTTTAAAAAAAAATAACGTAAGCCCTTTTTTGTTTCAGCACATAAAATAACAGACAGTACTGAGGATTTCAGAATGTATATCACCTAGTATTATGACTTTGAAAAACTGTTCAGGACTCCACCCACTCTGTTAAGCATTCATCTAAATTCAATCACTCACTCAGTCACTCAACAAACGCTGATTGCTGTGTGGCATGGACCACTGAAACTAGGTGCTGGGGTAAAATTTTAAGAAACTTAATGCTTAGGATTAGAAAGCTGAGTAGGACCCAAACCGTGTCATTTCATAAAAGGGAGTGGCAAGAGGAGAAGTTTATCAACTCCAGGTGTTTGGACAAAGATCTCTTTTTGGATACCTTGTTCTATACTGCCGCTTCGAACTGGCACCTGTGGAAGCTGTCTTCCCCTGCGACTGCTGAAGGATGTGTCTGCTGGCGGAGACCGCGTCGGGCTTCCTTGTCGGTGCGTTCTGTAGGCAAACAGCAAAGGGCGGGTGAAATGCCAATACAGTCTGGCAAAGCATTTTTCCCTTTTTCCAGTCACTACGAAAACAGGCAGAAAACACCTAACTTAGTTATTGGAAGCCAAATCCAATACTATAAATGACACACGTAAAAGGGCTGCTGCATGAGGCTGAAGGAGGCACGTACACATTCTACACAGTGGATTCTTGAATTAAGCAGAATGTGATTGACTTTCTCTGATTCGTGCTTTCTTAAAGACATCCGTTGTGTTAGTACCATGACAGAACTGACCACAGCCTCTGAATCTTAAACTATATAAACACGTATGTAAAGAATTAAAAAGGCATGTTGCCAGACAGCTGTAGCTAAACTCACACATGCTTTAAAGTCATGTATAATAATAAGTTCTCGATGCACAGCCAGATGTTAGTTACCAAGAAGTTGTGCATTGTTTTTCAATAGAAACAAGCAACGAACCTTGAAAAGGATTTCAAATAACCTTGGACACATGCTACAGAATCTCCTGATGTGAGGATTAATGTTGGAAATGAGAATGTGAGAGGCATGCAGATACTCAGTCCCACCCAGGTAAAGCTGCCCTCCACCTGCTGGCATTCGCTTTGGAACTGAGGAAGTTTTAAACACTACATGGCTCTAGAAACACATATAGAAGGTTACTTTATAAAACTCTCTGATACTCTAACAAACGAATACATATTTGATTGTGAGTAAACTCCTCATGAAGCATTTCACATGGTAAAGTATATATGATAGGGCCACGGACAAATGAAAGGACAGAACACAGCCAGGTTTAGTTGTCGATGGCAGCGATCTGGCAGGAACTGGGGAACTCTGCCAGCACAGTGAAGCTAGATGCCAGTGCGAGGGGATGTGGGTGAGGACTCGGGTCACAGAGAAAAGAGTAGGAACCATGGCGTCATAATGAATGACAGCTTCGAGTGCTCAGGAAGGAACAACACCACACCAACACCCGGCAGCAGGACACGCATGCTGGGCTGGACACTGAATAGCAACCTTGTCAGGAGCGGAGAAGGTGGCGCCGAGCCTCCAGGGGCAAGGTGGTGCATAGAACCCAGGGTTCTGACACTAGAGTGCTCGCTCGACCGCGAGCGAGTGGGAGGCTTTCCCCTAATGACTGCTTGATCAGTTGCTCTTGGGATTGCGTATCCCCTTCTAGAAAGGCATGATGGGAGAACCCTAAAACATTAGTGTCAAAAGAGATCTTCAGTCAGCAGGTTTCATTAACGCAATTCCAACACAGTCGTCCAAGGAAAACCTGGATACTCTTAAAGTGAGTTTTCAAGTACAAGAGAAACACTCGTCACACAGTTATTGAGAAGAAAATGTCACTGTTATCCAAACATCTCTGTGTTATAAAGGGCCAACCTAAGTTGTCCTAATATCCTCAAGTTCTTGTGAACCCTCCACCATCAAAGAATTCAGTCTTTTTCTTTTGGTGGGGATGGGGTTATTGAACTCTATGTCCAGTGTGCCGAAAAATGGAGAATAGAAAACAGGGACAAAATAAAGGTTTCTTGATTGAACAAGTGTGTGAAATTACATTGATGGTATTCTATAAGAGTGAGAAATCTAAATGTATGGACGCTTTTACGATATTCATAGTTCTACAGTGCAAGAAGTAAGTCTATGGTAAATAGAAAACCAAAAGATCATGTTTCTTCATCTCAGTCCAACACTAAGAAATAAAAATAAAGCTTGAACAGTACTTAATTTATACACCTAATTAAGCACAAATGGTAGGTGTGTGTGTTAAACAGGTTCTCTTAGATGTGATAGTATCTGAAAATGCCTTTTTGAATATAAGGGTAGTTAACTTCATTTGGTATTCAAGACAATTATGAAACAATTTTCTAAAATAGATACTAAGAATTAAATTGATACATATACATACATGTGCATATCTCCATAAAACTGATGCATGCTTTTGATCCTTTTATCATGTTAGTATTATTTTAATTAAGTGATGGTTAATATTCCTGTTATGCATCACATTGACAAGAGTTTGACAAAATCTCATTCTTTCATAGCAATAAAAGGAAATGTGTTTATTGTCTACAAGTGTGAGAATAACACACCTCAATACTTCTGTTAAGTAAAATACTTTTTACAACAAACCTGATTTTTGCTTTATGTCTTTCATTTCAGAACAGTGAAAAAGAAAATGTCAGCTTTCAGAGAATAAGAGAGTGCATCTTACACTTGGAATAAAGGTACATTATATCCTCTTAGGCTGCAGATTACAGCTTTATTAGATATTGAGTCCTGCCCTGAAACCTCACCTATCACTGCTACTTACAACCTAAAAGGGATCTTCTGATATTCTAACATTCAAATAGTTTACCTATTCTAACTTACTTGCTCATGAGATTAACTAGACCAAACTGAGAAGGGAAGAATTTCTATGACATATTTCCAACGCTAAACAATGTTTTATTTATCCTTTATAAGTCATTATTATGAGAATCAGATTGTTCAAAATATATGTATTGTTTGTGGTTTGGAATTTTAATTGTACATTTTTCACATTAGCAATAGAGTGTTTCTCAGACACTACAATTTTATGATAATCTTACTTTATCTCTTGGTGAAATGTCTAACCCCATAAGAACAACCTGAGTGTGACTTTAGATAAGAATAATTTGGGTGGACTTTATGTTTCAACAAATAATACGAAAATGCTATAACAACCATATTCAGAAGTCATGAATGGATTCAGGGTAAATACTTTACTGCTTTAAAATATGTGACTTGGAGAGCCATCCTTGAGCTGGAAGGAGGTTGGCAGAATCTGAAAAGAGCCCATGTTGTTCCAAGTTCAAGATTTTTCACAAAAATCTTTGGTTCTTTTTTTCCTTTACACAAAATAACTCTTCATTGTCCCATTAGCAAAAAAGTTCTTGCTACATGTCAATCATGGAGTACAGCTCAGAGGATGGGTAAAGTTCTTGCTACATGTCAATCATGGAGTACAGCTCAGAGGATGGGTAAAGTCACTCAGAGCAAGAGAGGGATGTGATCACGGAGTTCCAGGAGGATGAACTTGTAAAGAGGTGAACAAAGTTTTGCAGAGAAGAGGCAATGGAATTAAGAATGGTTTGTCCAGGCAAATGGAAAGGAGAGCCGGTCAAGAATTTCAAGGTACAACAGTATAGAGATGAGAGAATCAAGGCTGCTGGCCCTTGGTCATTTTAACAGAATGGGATATAATAGAAGGAAAGGCGGTTAAAAGAATGGGAGAGACTTAGAGTGAACGTGTTAGAGAAGGAAACCAAGAATGGATGGAAGAAAAAAGAAACAAGATCTAAGAGACAATGAGATAACAGTAAGATCTTTAATGTTAGCATGGTGACAGCTACATGCTAAGCTCTGAAAGTGTGTGTGCATTTATATGGATACAGATGTGCATGTATCTGTGAACTTTTGTGCTGTAACCCTTTGATGCATAATTACGACTGTTTTTATAAATACAACTGAGGCTCATTCATAACCTGCACAAAGACAATGGGAGAAAATACTAGAGACAGGATCTGCACAGGTTTGCCGAGAACCAACAGGGGCCTTCTTTTCTGACATTGACAGATTGTGCAATTTCTTCTTGACTTTTGTTCTGAACACTTGAACCCAAGGCTTCAGCATGCTAGATGGAAATTTTACTCATGACATTATTTACTGTAACAGAACTTGTTTTAATACTGAGGGACAAAACAAAAAAATTACCACAACATACAGATATACATCTAAAAATTGAATGATGTAGTATGGCTGAAAGGAATCATGGCCTCAGAGTTTACAGGATAAAAATGTAGGCAAATGACATTTAATAAGTCTTCTTTGCATAATCTGCCATGGGTATACACATCCACATATACAGTAGCTCACCTCTGCAAGTGTGTATCTAAATATTTACTTCTGGGTTCAATCACAGCCTGACTTCCTTCACTGAACTCCACTGTGTTAAATTGAACTAAACGCACTTCACTGCAAAACCCTAGCTCTTTAGCCAGACAGTTCAAGTTTTTCAGATGTTCCCACCTGAAGCTCTAAACTCAGATTTTGGTATTTCTGTATTTTAATGACCTGCTGAAGAGGTGGGAATGTACACAGCATTTAAGTTCCAAAACAGTTTCTTCTCTGATAGCCTTTTCTGGCCTGTAAGGCTCCTTCCCATTGCTCCAACACATAAAACAGCACACCTGTAGGCAATTCTAAATGATAAACAAAACACCCAACAGGCAAAATTCCGGATATGGTACCACAAATAATAATGATGATGATGATGATAATGATAATAATAATCGGGGTTCTCTCAGTTGAACTTGCATGGAGGTGAAAAGTGAAATGTTATTTTTTATTAGAACATTCTCTTTGGCTCTTTTTCTTCTTTTGCCATTTTGTCATATTCCAACTTGTTGACTTTTCTATTTATCTTATTTCATTTTATTATTATTCCTTAGGGGCCCTGTTTGTTTTCTAATGAAGGACAAAAGGAGTATGGATCTGGATGACAGAGGCTATGGGGAGAAACTGGGAGGAAAGGGGAGGAGAAACCTTAAGACTATTTTGCATGGAAAACAATCCATTATATAAAAGAAAAAAGAGAGGAAGAGAGGATGGGGCCAGACTTTGAGTGGTCAGAAACAGAAGACAGTGTTAGCTGTACCTGCTTTCCACCCCTAACAGGCCACAGTATATTTTCTTGTTAGACTCTACCACCCAACAGCAAGTTTGCTTCAGATAAATGTAAAACCTGGATAATTCCACAGTAACATGTTTCAGAATCTACTGCATAACTGTAATGTCAGGTTTCTGTGTACGGTTATTAGCCTCTAAAGGTCAAGGGTCAACTTCCAGTTTGGGGGTATTGCCAAGTGGTAGAGCATTGTTTGCCTAACAAACACATGCCCTTGGGTTTCACTAAAAGCAGTTAGAAGGAATGAAGGGAGGGAGGAAGAAGAGAGGAGAAAAGAGGGAGGAGAAAGGGAAGAAAGAAGGAAAAAAGAGGGAAAAGGCATAGAAGAAGAGCCAGTGCACTAGGGATAAATACGGGTGTATAAAATGACTCTTTGGAGCCTATTCCCTATGGAGGGATACCTGCTCAGTCTGGATACAGCGGGGAGGGCCTTGGTCCTGTCTTAAGTGATTACAGACTTGGTGGACTCTGGTGGGAGACCTCACCCTCTGTTAGGAGTGTATGAGGATGAGGTGGGGAGAAGGCAAAGGGAGTGGGAGGACAGAAGTGGGAGAGAACAGGGATGGTATATAAAATAAGACTGTTTAAAAAAAAAGGTCAGTGTACAACATTCACATAGTGAATTAATTAACCTTAGCTACATATTAACTCAGAGCTCCTGCAGTAACTACCATCAGTGTGACTTTGAACATGCAGGTCAACTCCCTTGTAACAAGTATTCAACAGTTTCCTTAAAAGTTAGTCATTTAGATTCCTATAAAAATCAGTCAAGTATGTTAATCACCACACATATCAGAGGCCAGTGTTTGCAGCTAAGCCAAGGCTGAAGGCTGGAAATGCATGCATTCATTACCAACAACTCCTTGGTTGTGTTTAATGCTTCCATTTCTGTCTCACACTCCAATTACTGTTTTGCTCTTTTTTTCTATTGATACTTTTTGAGTCCCCCTATATTCTTGTGTGCTGTAAAGTGTCTGTCTAAAGGACCAATAGCTCTGTGGATTAACAGATTTCAACAGTGTTTCCTTTTCTCCATATTAACGAATGCTTTGATATCTCTCCTCCTATTTTTTTCAGATTTAATCTCCACAAAAAGGAAATGCCTTCATTTTTGCTGATCACTACTTATTCCTTACACCAGAACTCAAGGTGGCCTGAGTTTATGGACTAAATAAATCACTGAACTGCACAGACTCCGAGCCATGGTGTCTTCCATCATTTACTCTTAAATATTTTGATGCATCTCCCAAACTGCTTTCTTTCTCCCTTTTCCCCTTTTTTAAGCATTTATTTATTTATTACGTAAAGTGTTCTGCCTGTATACATGACTGCCCATCACAAAGGACACCAGATCTCATTATAGATGGTTGTGCAACTATGTGAGTGCTAAAATTGAACTCAGTACCTCTGGAAGAATGGTCAGTGCTAATAACTTCTGAGTCATTTCTCCATCCCCCCAAACTGTTTCCAAATGGATCTATATTTCTGAAACTCAAAATCAAACATCCACTGCCCAGGTTTAAGGACAGCATATGCTAAACAGAGAGTCTTTAGTACATTAACATGGCATGGTCATGCCAGTCTTAATATCTCAAGAAGTCTACAGTTCAAGTTTTAGTTTCCTTTTTTTTTGTCTTCTGATTTCCATTCTCTAATCACGAATAGGTACTTTACTAAAAAATTATTTTCTAGTCATATGTTTTCTTATATTTTCCCATTTCACATTTACACAAAATTTTACCTATTGATTTAGTTCAGTAAGGCTGGTGTGTTGAATATTTTCAAATTCCAATGCCCTATTCATACTTCTGTTTTCACTATGCCTGAAATACATCTGATATTGAACATATCCATTCACCTGTTTCCATTCATGTCTAATGGCCAACTATTCATTATGTATATTACTATGACTTTCTAGGTGTTTCTTGGATGTGCCAAGAGAAGTCAAATATGTTTCACCTAAAGTTACACAACACACTTAAAACTCGAAAAACTAAAAAATCATCAATAATTCCTTAGATTTTTCTTTACATAAAAACAGCAAATAAGTACGAGAATCATAGATTACACCCTTGTAGAAAATGAGACTTTTTGAAAAACACATTATTCAAATATCTAATACACACTCAAATTGTTCACACTTTCCCAGTTATGATTCACGAGAAGCATTTGATGTGATCACAGAAGGAAAACATCCAGGTTCTAACACGTGTGTGAAAAGGAGCACGTGTCTAGACCTCCATAGACATGAGATTGATCATGAAGAAAAACCATGTTTGCTTGTCCCTTAACACCTACTATTTAAGGGCAGCCCACACAGTGACATTGTCTTTTTCTTCAGCCACTTTTCTCACATAGCTATCGGTTCATATCCGTGAGGCATGCCAAGCATCACAGTTTGTGTGTGTATCCTGGAATGTTAAGGGAGAGGCGGGGCACTCCCGGGTCTATGTAAAAAGGAAGACGGCGGCACAGCACAACAACAAGCCTACCTGTCTGCATCAGAGGCTGTGCATTTCCTAGTCTGTTTTTGGATGCTAGATCTTTCAGACTTTCTGGAGTGCCTGTGGGAATGAAATGTTAAAGAAATACAAAATAGATGATGAATAAAGCTACAGTCACGTCAAACAATGAAAAAGAAAAACAAGACATGAACAATGACAACTTAGCTTACCTAAATGGGCTTGTCAGTCAACACTTTCACAATTAAAAAAAAATAACAAATAAATACAACATTGAAATCAGAAAGGATGCTGGGTGGAAGACACAGTGGCAGATGAGATACAGGAGAAGCTGACACCACATTAGTTTAAATGAGTACATCTACAGCAATGATCTGGTGTAGACCTTTACTCAGCAACTTTACTTCCGCCAATGAATAAAACAGAAAGTGATGAAATGTATGATAATAAGTGCTACAATGGTAATGATTTGGTACTGGAACACCACACAGGGGCTAAGTGATCATTTATTTTGAAACTTTGTGCTCTAGAGGATTTTTTCCACCACCAAAGTATGAAAAGAAAAACATAAAAGATGTTAACAGAAGTGAAAACACTTAATCTAATCATGAGAATTGCTTTTTAATCAATAATAAAAATGCCTAGGTAAAGTAAGGAGAGATATAAAAGCTAGCTACACCTGGTATAACAGAATAAAACCTCCCATTTGACTTTCAGAAAGCACACCTAACACTTAAATATAGAAATTAAGATATCGTGTTCTAAAAGCAATGTTTATAGAGAAAGTGAGAGTCAAAGATATTCCTTAATGTAACGTACATATACTTATTTAGCCTAAATCCCTGAACTAATATGTGAACAAAATGATTATAATGTGTGGGCATTCATAATGTATACCTGTATATAAAACTTATGCTAGCTCTGTATTTAAGATGTAAACGCGATAAAATGTGTGTGTAAATGTAAGACACATTTCTAAATGGTTATTACAATTGAATATGTCAAACATGATTTCACATAGTTACTCATAGCACTACATATTTTACACAAAAATAAAACATCGTGGCATACAAACACATATGTTTCAAAAATTGTAAGAATATATGCTTTTGTGTTATGATTTAATCTTTATAATACGCTTATTATATTTTCAAAGTCCTTTCTTCAGAAAATGTTCTTACTTAGAATTAATCTTATTAAGTGCCTCCTAGACACTAGAAACCCACAGGAAAGCCCCAGGTATCCTCTCTCAAATATACACACTTCCTTGCTCATTTCTCCACCCTCTTCCTCCTCTACAGCTGCATTCACACATTCTTTTTTTTTTTATTTCTCTAACACAGGTGTCTGTTCTTCAGCTGGAGGAACATGCAGTAAATGCCTGAATCTATGGGAGGCAGCTGTCCTGTTGACTAGGAACTAATGCTTGTTTCTGAAATAAAGGACATGCCCGAGGCCACAACAGATTAAGCGAAGGGTAGGGAAGGGAGAGGTGGGTAAAACAGGTTGAAGGCATGAGATCCACATAAACGTAATGCATGACTTATAGAGAGTTTGTGTGTGGTCCCAGCAGTGATCAAGGACAACTGCCTGGAGAGACAAAGAATCCTTCTCTCATCTTCAGGGGAGAAAAGGATGAGAGGATGAGATCTTAGTTTGGGGAAGAACCACAGGTTTATTTATCGTCTGTTTTTAGTTTTGTTTTTTTTTTTTTCTGCTCACTGTATCGTTCACTCACTTAACAGAATTGTTGAGCATCTTTAACACGTGAGGCATTGTTAGGTGTCTGGAGTGTGTCTATGGTCAGTTCTGTAAAACTCTCTACCTTTAACAACTGACGTTGTCACCAGTGAAAGTCAAAAATTGAACAGCATCAGACAAAATGATGAAAGGACTTCCACCTTAGGACAGGTATGAACCTTGTTAGCTCAAGGTGAGAAAAGCAGCCATCACATCAGGATAAGAAGGCGATTTGTCAGAGGGGAACAATGGGGATGCAGCTGCAGGACATGGGAAAACTCTGCAGATACTTTCTGCTATTGAAAAACAAAAAGCTATACGCATCTATTAGAAATTGCCCGATTTCCTTGTCCTTCACAAAATTTAAGGCTTTTTAGCCTTAAATGAGATTGTAATTTTTCTCTAAATTTCTCAAATTCTTCTTCCCTTTCTCATGTCCTAAAACTTAATGAGGTCATGGAGCATGATGGTTACCATGGTGATGCCAGCACCACTGGCAATATTAAGGCTATGTTTATGAAGACCTCAGCACTCATTTGGCCTTTATTGCATCGTCATCTAATCTGACCAATCCAAAAAGGGATGCACCGCTCTTTTATCCTTAGACTGAGGCTTCCGAATGTTAGCTCCTTTGCTTTTGACAGTCATCATAGGAAGCCAGGAGACAAGCAGACAGTTCATGACCACAGTGTAGCAGTCTCTGGCACGACTTAACCGTTAACAGAGGAGCACACGGTGTGAATTGTAGTGTCAGAAACGATATCAACTCAGCTGTCCTGGCTAACGAAGTAAAACGGAGGTACTTGACCTCCGTGTGTCTTATTTCCTTCTGCATGCAAAGTTACAATTAATGATACTACCACCCCCAAGCACACGAGTTCTAAATACATTCATTATTACTTAGCATTTGGATTGTGTATTGGTAGTTTTGGAGTATTCCACAGAATCTGGATTTGTGCTTCTTTAAGCACTTCTGAGAACAAGAAAATGCTGAGTGCTATAAAGGTCGAGTATTAAATAGTAATAACATTTATTTGGCCCCAAATACACCTACTCTAATGGCAATAATTCAGTCAATGATTAATGCTACAACCATTCACAGGTCCACACATCTCTTTTTCTGTTGTTGTTGCTTTAAACTTTTTGTTAAGGTGATTGCTCTTTCTCGTTAAAGGCCACTATAACTTTTGCAAAAGACTCTTCTAATGACACCTACAAGGATATGTCTTCAAAATGCTTGTAACTGCTCGAGAGTATCCCTAAATAGAGCAAAGATGATGCACTTTAAATGGCCCAAACTCACTGTAAATCAGGAACAGACACGGAAATAAAAAAACTCTGCTGTCTTTTTTCTTTTAGAGCCAATATTCATAGCTATGGACACACTGTATATTTAATTACACCCATCATTGATATAAACAGAGGGTTAAGATGGACACAGTAGAAATGCTATTCATATTGTATACAATCAAAATTACTGCTCAGATGGTCAGAAAACAGGTCACAGGGACATGAAAGACTTCATGCTGTACATCAACCACCTGAAGGTTTTACTGGCAGGATCTTGGTCTAGATGGGTTTTGACTGTAATGTTACTCTTTCAAAATGTCTTTCCTATTTGTTAAATGTTTTATTTGGGGGCTGGAGAGATGGCTCAGGGGTTAAGAGCACTGGCTGCTCTTCCAGAGGTCCTGAGTTCAATTCCCAGCAACCACATGGTGGCTCACAACTATCTATAATGAGATCTGCTGCCCTCTTCTGGAGTGCAGTCAGATATACAGGCAGAATGCTGTATGCATAATAAATAAAAAAATCTTAAAAAAATGTTTTATTTGAAAACTGTTGCTACAATGACTAAATTTTTAATGAATTTAAAAGGGAGAAGGGGGAAGTATGATCAATATTATTAGTTATACCTTGATAAATCAAGAGGTAGGCTATATTTTATCAAAAGTGAAAATTGATGATAATATACTTTATATATCTGAAATCTAGAGACAAGAAAATCTTCACGGCAGAAATAATGTTTAAGGGAACAGATGTTTTAACCTTAATTTAAGTATTAAATAAGGTATACATGAAAGCAGAATATTACATGGTACCCAAAATATATATAAAGTGTTTATCTCTTTATATATTAGTTAAGATTATAGACTGTTATCTGTATATTTTAATGTAATATGACAGTCCAAATTTACACTGAGCAAAAAGAAGTAACTTTGAAAATATAATCTGCTTTATATCAAATACACATGTAACAATTCAAATGTATTGTTTTCTGGGCTTCAGGAAAAATAGAAAATTCCATAAATAAAGCTTGATTTCTGTTTTACTAACACTTTATGCATGTTAGTAGTCTGTGCTTTACCACAATGGTGCCAGTGACTCAGGCTCAGTCTTAGAGTTTAACAGAACATGAGAATTCAGCTACTCCATTTACAACTAGCTAAATGTGCAAATGAAAAAATATAGCTAAAAAATGTCATGTGATTTAGCCCGTGTACCACGCAACTTAGCCAGTACAACAACCACGTTCTCATGATTTCAGCTTTATTAAAATCCCTAGTAATCTTTACCACTATTACATTGTTTATGCTTTCATGGATCAAAATTAAAAATATTTAAAATTTGAATTTTTCCTGTATTTCAGGCATAATACTTAATTTGGCCTTATGATTGCTCAGAAATATAAAATCCTATAACTACCTGGCAGAGATCAAGTTATTTAAAATCTGTAAAGACACATCCAAATATAAAGTATATGATTATTTTATTGTTGAATTGAAGCAAAAGCTTTAATTAGAAGACTGGATCTATCTCTAATCAAACTTGCAATTTTGAAATTCCATTGAAATATTATTCTTATTTATATTACTTTTAATGTTCACGTTTTTAGCTATAATCAAAACAGGAAATAATTAACATCTATTTGGAGAATACGTCATTTTTATTTTTAAATTTTAATTGATTCAATTTCATGATGTTATGAGTAAGAAAATACTTTCTGAAGACATCAAAAATTATTATATATGTGGGTGTAGTAAATATAATAAAATGTGACACACAGTATACAAAATGATTGCTAATCCTGCTATATTATTTAATAATATTTGTTTGAAATTTGACATAATATAACATGTTTTAGCTTGAGGAAAAATGTAGCATAAATCTACCAATGGCTGTTCTCACTATATAAAACAGTGATGGCATAAGAATGAATCTCTGCATGTTCAGGATGCTTATGCTGTATATAGCTTTTGATGACTGATGCTGTTTGAAAGTGGAATGTCTACCTATGCCATCTTAGTTTTTCATCAGTTTGGAAAGAAATAATAAATTAAAGCAAGATTAGTGATAAACAT